TAGCACATTCCATTGTTTCTTTAAAATAACTGAATTGAAGATTTGAAGTAATCTCTCTCAATAAAGATGTTTTACATATATCATGGAATAAGAATGCTGCAGATGGGAAAATGTATGTATAGAAACAGAACAAATCATGAAATGCCATATAAAAATTAGTGTGTGATTTAGAAATTACTTATTTTGACCTTCTAAAGACAAGGGCTGTATCAGAAAGTTTTCCCTGCCTGATAGTTCTGAAAAGTGCTTCTTGGCATCAAAAATAATCTAGACAATGATCAAGTGCTCTGCTATGTACCACAAGGTAGCAGATTGCAGAGTTATATCACCTAAAAAAGTGAGAGCCCTTAATAGCAGAAATAGGTAAATAAAAACTTTGAGACATTAAGAGCACAACTGAACAGACTTCCTACAAAAACTTGTCACTGGTCAGTCAGTTGAGTGAGATGGTTACCTGAGCAACAACAGCTAAGATATGGTAAGTGTTAAGGTAAACATTGTCAGTTTTATTTAGCCCAAGGCTAAATGCAAACAGACACATGCGCAGACACACACACACGCACACCACCCCAACACACCCTACAGCCAAACCTGAGGAGGGGGACAATGAGTAGACAGAATACCAGTTATACAGCTTCCTTGTGTACTCCCAAAATGCTAATGTGCTGTGAAATAGGCATACATTAATCAGAAAAAAGGAAATGTAAAGAGAACACCTGTGTGATGTTAAAGATTTTAAAGGCAGTACACAGGAAGGATGTTAGAAAGCTAAATGGGAATAGGGGATACCTAAACCTAAATGAATTATTTTAGGCTAGATTTCTGCACAGCAATTGCATTTAATATGTTCAAAAAGCTGCTAAGGGCCAATAGACATGAGTAGCATAGATAGTTCTGAAAAGAACTAAACAGATAGAAGTATATTAACCTTGTCACAAGCCAACAACTGCATCAAAAATTGTTTTTAATGAATTGCACCCTCTTATGCCAGATGTGAATTTGACCCATATTAGAATAAGATGTAATACTATAGGGTACAATTACATCTTCCAAAGAATCACAAAATCTCCCTGAAAAAAAGAATTCATTGTGTGCTGTTAGTAATTTCTCTGAACAAGTGTTGTATTGCCATCTAGTGATCACTTTGTATATTGTCTGGCTATACAAAAAGGGGGAATTGAGATGTTTGACATGAGTTGAATCAAGCTGCAGCTTAATTAGATGTCTAGAATAACCCAACAGATAAAAGTGTACAGTATAGCTAACCCCATGTTTATTCTATAATTACCCAGAGAGCTTTTATCAACTCCCCCCTTTTTCAATCCACATCCGTCCAGCAAATCCATTACTGGGACCTTACCCTCAACCCCACCTTCAAAGGAGGGTTACAATGGCTATTATAATGGGGGCTGACTCCCTGCTATAACAATCATAGGAGTCCCCAACTACCCCCATCCACTCCTTTCCTTAACACCTCTTTTGAAGTCCTTTTTCCAAGCCATTTATCTGGTCACTGAATACTTTTCCTACGGAGTACTCGATCTGGACATCCGCCCTACACTTAGATAACGACTTGCAACATAATCACCTGAACCTGCAGTAGGGAAGGCAAAAAACAAAGAAATATGGTGGTAAGGGAAAAATTTCTTCCCAGCTCCTCCTCAAAGGGTGGCTAGTAGGTCCACAGTAGGTCTAGACCAAACCTGGCCTTTGGCTACATACAAAACTGATATTTTACCATAAATAGTGGAAGTGTGCAGCCTCCACCTGCTCTGTGCAAGAGGGAAGGTTAAGCCATAGGGCTGCCTATTCAAAAATCCTCATTCCCAGGAGGTAAGTAAGCAACCATGAAGACCCTTTTGCAGCAGTTCATCTCCTCTCTTCCTATGCCTTTCACCAGACCTTAAAGCACAGTTCCATTCATTCAGCCAGCCAAATACCCCACCCTCTTTAAGGTGCAGTGCAATCACTGCAAACCAAAGAAATACCATCACCCATGTAATCACATCTAAATCACTTCAGGCCTTTAAAAATCTGGCCGTTAATACACACACAGATCTGTACTTCCTGAATGATCTCTCCAAACCTTAAATTAATCTTCACAACAGTCCCTGTAACAGAAGAAACAGCTGCTTATTTCTCAGCTGAGTGTGGCTGGACTAGCTTGTTTCAAATAAGAAATGATTTATACCTCAGACACAAAGATTAATCCTGTTCTTTATCCAAAGCAATACACTGAATGAATGGAGGAGCCAGATTAGAATTAAGAAGTTCCTAGTTTCCAGTACTACATGTAGTCCACGGCTTATGCTGATTCGTTAGGCTGACAAATCTAGTATTAGGACCTGCCCTGCACACCAGTATTCATTGAGATAGTCAAGTCAGTGATCACTACCCAATTGTCCTGGCCTAAAGGAGGAACATATATGGCACTGGAGACAGGGAATGGCAAAGAATGCTTCATATGGCCAAAGACCCAATTGTTTAAAATCAAGAATCCAAGTCTCATTTTCTGGCTGTGGAACTGAAGAACCTATTAAACCTCCACCACTTATCTTCTACCATTGACTACACATGCACACTTTCAAAATGGTTTAATACTACCTCATCATTTTAAGAAAATATAACATTAATAATATGTATAACAAGTGGATTTTATCCTCTCACCTCTAGCTCTTATGGCACATACTAATAGTTTCCTTTGTTAGCACACTATTTTATTTTTTTCATTTTAATTCTTTATGCTGCTGCATAGGTCATAGTATCAAGACATTTCATAGCTTGTTTTCTGTTCTGGCTTCCCATTTTGCATTTATATTTCCTAGTACTGCAGATAATATTCAAAATATTTGCCTTTATCTTAATTCAGTTTCTGTACTAGTCAACTGCACATACCACTTAAATTATGCTGCATAAAATTACCACAACACAATTTATGCTGTTGGTTTACTGGACTTCTTACGATCTTACTACTGAAGATATTTACATTATGGGTGTGTCTAGACTGGCAATATTTTTCGCAAAAGCAATTGCTTTTGCGCAAAATCTTGCCGCCTGTCTACACTGGCCTCAAGTATTTGCGCAAGAACACTGACTTTGTACTGTACAAAATCAGTGGTTCTTGCGCAAATATCCGACACTCCTGCTCAGGGACAAGCCTTCTTGTGCAAGTGTTCTTGTGCAAAAGGGCCAGTGTAAACAGCCAAGTTAATTTCTTGCGCAAGAAAGACCAATGGCTAAAATGGCCATCGGAGCTTTCTTGTGCAAGAGTGTCTACACTGGCACAGATGCTTTTGCGCAAAAGCAAATCTTTTGCGCAAAGGCACATGCCAGTATAGACACTTTCTTGCACAAATACTTTTAACGGAAAACTTTTCCGTTAAAAGTATTTGTGCAAAATCATGCCAGTCTAGATGCACCCTATGTCCTCTCTATGTGAAGGACGATCTTATGCTTAAGGGCTAGAAGTGTGAATCAGGACACTGATACTCTGTTTTGGTTTTGCCAGAATCAGTCTGTATGAAGTTGGGTACAACACTTCTTAGACCAAAGTTTCAACATAGTGCTTTTCTATTAGGTACTAATATACCTAAGCATTGAAAAAATAAGGCACTTATTAAGAGGTGGAGAATCAAATCAATGGGCAGTTCTTCATTAGATGTGATAGCATGATATGGAACTTCGGCAAGGGGAAAAATATCTTGATAGTAATTTAAATTTCAGGATGGATAGTAGCTAATTCTTGTTACCAAATGTGTTAGGCTCTGATTGTGCAAGATACATAAGCACGTGCCTACCTTTAAACGTTTGAATAGTCCATTTATTTCTATGCACACAAGTAGTGTTATTAAATGAAACTTGTGCTTAAGCACTTAACTTATGAAAATACAAAAATATGCTTTGCCCGGTTTTAATTAAATAAAGCCCACATGCAAGTGATTAACTTATTGATATGTACATGTTTCATCTAGTGAGAGAAATACAATAACACAGTTAAGAAAGAATATAACATGAGTAACAAGAAATGTTAGCCACATATTTTCAATAAAAGGAAAAAAGTTGTTTCCTGGATAGTCAGTTGGAACGGTAGCAAGTATGTGATTGCATATTTTTAAATCCTAAAGAGGATAAAAATTTGAGGTGGTTTAGTGTCCCTTGTCAGGTTGCTAATCATTTTGAGATTTCACTAGAATGCTGATAACTAGCCTCTCATTATCAGCCTTGACAGAAGACTATTTGGCACTCAAACTGGCAACCAATTTTACCACTTTTAGGCAGCTGTTACATACTGTATGAGCATGGTAAAGATGTGCGGCTCTCAGGAGACAGAATTAGGGTAAGTCATTTTTCAGTATTAACAAGATAGTAAATGCTGTTTTAAGACAAGCAAGTATGAGATGAATACTGACCCTCACAGTACCTTTATAGACATGCAAAATTGATACTCTTCATGAGAACTCTCTCAAATCCAGTGAAAAAGGCTGAAGAGCATAAGTATGCAAACACCCATATACACACGTGCACTTTAATGGACCTATAAGTTCTGCACAACTATAATCAATTTTCAGTTTGAGATTTCAGCATGCAAAAAAAATGCTACAAGAATATCATTTTGCCTCATTAAAATGTTTAATGATTAAAAACCAGACAAAATTCAGTTCACACATTTGTCCCAGATATAAACTGGATATTTCCAGAAAGAAGTCATTATTTACTCAGCAAAATTTCCACTCTCAACTAGGAAAACAGTCTTACATTACAATGGAACAGTTTTCAACTATTTGAAGAAAATAGACTTGAAGTTGAAACCCCTTATTAAAAAAGAGAGTATTCAAAATTCCCTATACACTTCACCTTAAAACTGTGGTGTTTCATATGCTTACTGTATTGTTTCTGTTTTATAAGGGAAACAATCAACTTTGAGTTAAGACAGTAATACATTTAAGAAAACAAGTGTAATTTCTCTCTTTACTGAGCCAATGTGAATTCTTTCCACACAGCTCCAGCATCACCACTGATTCTGATAACCAGCTGTTTCTGGAACATAGCTTTTTCAAATATTTCAGGTATGTGGCATTTTCACAACATTACACATTAGGCCAAATATTCATATGTGAGAGGAAGCAGGTGATTGTGAGTGAAATGTATGGTAGTTTTATGTGCCAAATTGCCTAATGATATATCTGAAAACTGGGAAGCTGGATCATTGTGGACAAAAATAGGGACACAAGGTCATTTTCTACTCTGAACAACAGCATTATAAATCTGAAAAAATGTCACTGAATTCGATGAACTTACATATATAACTGAGTATAGAAGTTGGCTATTGACTCTGGTGGGAGTTTGATTGAACCTTAAGTCTCGATCCTCTGATATACAAAGTGCTCGACTTCCATTAACCTCAGTGGAAGTTGGGGAGCACCACATTTTGGGGGACATGAACAATTGCTTGTTTGCTTTAATATTCTCTTCTTACTATGGTGAGTTAATGATTAAATTACTAAGAGTTCATCCTCTCCTGGCAGATAACTAGATTTCTCTTTTCTTTAGATTTCCTCAAACAGTAAGCTTGGGAAAGCATGGGGTGAGTTTAGAGAAGTGAGGAATTTCTCTGCCACACCCAGAAGGATCAGGATCTGGAGTCACTACAGGAAGCAATTCAGACAGTGGAAGGTTCCCCACTTGAGAGCTCAAGGTCTCAGAGCAAATGAGAAATGTATTTGCCTTTATTAGTACTGCAATTCTATCAATAACAGCTATTCTCCTAATACCTTGCACCTGATCTAAGGTGTCAACTACTGAATTTGAGGCAGATTCAGCCCATGTGATGTACTTATGTAGCCCAAGTGACATTTAAATTTGCTAGCATCTCTCCTTTCAATATTTTAAAAGTAGTTCTTTAGCCCTTGGGCTCTCAAAAACCAACTTTCTGACCATTACCTGACTTTTACCAATGCAGGAATGGCTGCCACAGCCTGCAGAATACTGAATCAATGGCCCATTAAGGGTGCTTATGGTGTCTAGGGCCTCAGACCTGAACCAAAGGGACTCTAGGGTGTGAGGAGTCACACATACTGCAAGAGATACTGATCATGGGTGTATCAGCTACAGCTGGACACCATCAAGTAAAAACATGGGCTCTCAGTCCCATTTAACATTCAATGGGCATACAATTTATATGAGGCTTTAACCTGACTAGGTTAGCTTATATGATAGACTACGTGCTTTATCTACTCTAGTCTTCTGGAATGTGCTAGGAAGCACATTAGCTAACATACTATCATTGCAATTTTAAATCCTAGTTTAGGGAAAACCTTAAAGAAAACATGACTTTGTGGTTAAAGCACTGATGTGGATTTTAGGAAATATGCTGTTTTGTCCTGATTTAATTCCCACTCCACCAACTGGAAGATTTAAATGAGCAAAATCCCTCAAGTGTATGACCATGTGGTATTCAAAGGCAGAATAGATTTTTTAAACTTTAGTTAGAAAGCTGATGGCTAATATTTAAATTTCTGCATACTAAATGTTCAGATCTTCATTTGTAGAGCTGCGCTATATCGGAGACAAATCAGCATCTGGCATAGCTCCATGAGCTTCTACAGAGAAGTGGTAGAAAATTGCCCCAGTATCTTTATCCTATATACCCAGTAGCCCAGTTTATAGTGAAGCAATGTTTATCTAAGCTAGAAAGAGAGGCTACTAAATTAAAGATTTATGACTTATTACTCAGAAAAGTTGGCTGAGAATTGTTAATAAGAAAGTTCAGACATTTGTAGGTGCATTTGTATTAAAAACTCCAGTCATAAAAAGGATGTGCCCACTAGTGTTCTAATAAGTTGTGAAAATTCATAAGACAGTTGTTTGATGACCTCAGGACAAACCTTTCTTTGAAGGAGAATAATTAATCTGAGGTTAAAAGTTTAACTCAGCCTTATTTTCCTTAATTTTATATTTACGGCCCTGTCAAGGGATTTACTTACCCCTCGGACTCCTCTTCCGAGGGATTAGCTCCTTTCATGTGCTGGACTTTTCTCTGGTGGTATCTCTACCTAACACTACAACACATAATGCTCCCTCTTCATTACTTAGCCCCCTATTTACTCTTCCCAGGACAGGAAAGACTTTTAGAGCAAATAATCCCATTCAGTTCTCAGCCATTATCCCTGTATCTTCTGAAACCCCTTTTTATGGGCAGCTTCTGGGCTTTATATAAGAAGCTGTTGTTCCTGTCCAGCTGAGACTCATTTACTCAATCCTTGCTCCCTGGCTTCTCCTCAGGGTGCAATCTGGGGCATTAATTGGCTCATCTAGCCACCTTAACCCCTCCAGCACTGATAGGGGGTGTCACCTCATCATAAGCTCCTAATATTAGAGATAACGGATTTCAGAGGGCTCAAGTTCCCTCTAGTACTCAATAGCTAACAGTATTGTAGTGCTATTATAGCCACCTGGTAACAAATAATACAGTCTCCTAATATTTTTCCCTGTGAAAAGTTGTGTAGTTTGGTCCTGAAATCCAAATTATTCAGTGGGGGAAAAGGAGCAGTTTAAACAACTCGTAAGAGTGTTTTCCATAAATGAAGAGGATGGTGGATTAGAGACTAGTGTAGGCAGATGGAAGCCATTTTGAAAGGTTTTTTTCTCCTTGAGACAAATACATCTTGCCAGGTAAGCTGGGAAATGTAATGCCAATAAAAACATGTGGTCTGCATTTTGAAGACTAAGTCATCCTTGTTACCCACCAGCTCTGTGATTCTTGGGGAACCAGAACATGGTCACCTGTCAGCCTTGTGCTCTTGGAGTCAGGGAGTGACATTCATGGAAAACCATTCCCCTCCCTCAGGCCTCTGCTAGAATCAAAGACAAATGAAAAGGCCAGGGAAGAAACACCCCAGCCTCATTTGCATTAAAGATGGAACAGAGGGACATCTCATTAGCATACAGAATGGAGAGCAGCTCTTCCAAGGCAGGAACTGCACTGAACTATGGGACACCGAAAGCAGAGAAGCACTGCCTGATGGGAAATCCCTGCTCCAGATGCTAATGAACCTAGGCCTGCTCACACCCAAATTAGTCATTATCAGACCAATTCTAGTAACGATCCTATTGACATCCAAAATACTGAAACTGCCTGGCCAAGTTGCATTGTGAGCTCTTCAAGGAACATCACCCATAACCAGGGGTGATCAGTCTCTATTGTCTCTCCTCTTTCTCTTTGAACTATCCCTATAAAAACTCCTATCCTTGCCCCAAGAAAACTGTTCTGATACCTGGACTTAAACTGCATCAGTTCCATTGAGACTTCTTCATCTCCTGTCTGATCGTGCTGGGGGCTCTGTCCTGCTTTTCTCCTGCCCTCTGGACCCCCGGCTACCATCATCATCTGGGAACCCCGATCAGTGCAAGCTCCGTGGAGTGGTGAGGTCTCTCTCTCTCTCTCTCTCTCTCAACTATCTCTCTTTCACTACTCAGAAATAAATCACTTTCATTGTTAAACTGGTTGCTTCTCTCTCTTTTTCTTTTGCTCACTCTTCCTTAAGGGGTGTTGTTTTGGCTTCCCCATTCGCTCTGCAACAACGCTTCTTGTACCCAAGCAAAAGATCCATGTAGTGCCTAAAATCCTGTGGGGTTTGCTCATCGTGTGGTTTACCAGTGAATGACTGTGGTGTGAAAGTGGGGATAGGGGGTGCTGAACCTGGGGGCTTATGAGGATGGCAGCTTAAAGTGCTGTCTAATCCAGCCCACTGAGTCCAAAGGCACATGAGGGTGCAGTGTGGCATTGCTGTGAAACCCAGCCAGCTGAGTCCAGGGACATATGAGGGGGTCAGCTTGTGAGTGCTGAGTACCCAGTCCTCTCAGACGTGCTCTGTTAGTGGGTGTGAGTGTCTGTGTGTGTTGCCAAGGTGGTAAGAACCCCATCCTGAGGAACCTAGTTCCTGCAGGAGAGCTCCAGTGGGAGGGGGAATTGGCAGCAGGGAGAATTCAGCTCCATATGAGAGCCCAAGTAAGCACCAACAGCACACTGATAGAACTGTTAACCTTCCCCCAGTCCCATAAGGGTAACCCTGATAAATGAGCATACCCCAGAGTATTGGGCAAGTCTGGTAACATCCTCTCCTGAATAGAGTGTGCTAGAAAATTAAAGGGCCAACATTTCAAAATGGTCAACTTAATTATTCTCATGGGGCTTTTTAGTAAACAGGACTCCTTTCCCAGAAGATGGGAGTAATCAGTGAGGAACAGGAGGACATGTAATCCAATGAGCCTATTGCCACCAGAACAAAGCACAGAAGCTCTGAGGTTCAGCTTCAGATCTGTTGTTTATTGTAAGTTTCACACAAAACATATCTACACTGGTGGGCTGTTGCACCAGAAGTATGCAAATGAGGCTAAGCGTGGAATAGTGCCGAACCTTATTTGCATACCTAATGAGCCGCCATTTTGCGGAAGAGGCTCTTGCTCTAAAAGGAGCTGTCTACACTGCCCCTTCTTGTGCAAAAAAAACCTCTTGCACAATGCCGTTATTCCTGAAAATAATCAGCGTAGCGGCATGGTCTAGCGCTACGTCTACACTGGCAGCTTCTTGCACAAGAACTGTTTTGTGGAAGAGTTCTTATGCAAAAAGTCTTCCACAAAAGCGCGTCTATACTGGCATGTGCTTTTGCGCAAGAGCATCTATGGCAGTGTGGATGCTCTCTTGAGCAAGAAAGCTCTGATGGCCATTTTAGCCATAGGAGTTTCTTGCACAATAAATTCATGTTGTCTGTCTACACTGCTCTCTTGCACAAGAGCTCTTGCACAAGAGGGCTTATTCCTCAGGTGGAGAGGAATAATCCTCCTGGAAGAAGCCCTGTTTTCCAACACTGTACTGTAAATTTTCTTGCGCACGAACATGCGTGCAGTGTAGACACCCGGCAAGTTTTTGTGCCATGACATTTGGAGTCTTGGTGGTGTAGGAAAATGTGTGACAATGTAGACAAAAGTGGGATGCACAGCGGTTTGTAATTACACGAAGGAATACATCATTGCACCCAAATGTCCCCCATCTGCACCCAGTGATCACAAAGACATGGGCTGGGGGTCTGTCCTTGGACACTCCTACCCCACATCCAGGCTCATTACTATATTGCTGCTGGAGCTGGGTTCTCAGCCAGCAGCCACCATTCTCACTGCTCTGCTTTCAGAGCAGGGCGGCCAGATAGCAACATCTGGGGGCAATAGCTTCAACACCTCCCCCCAAAACCATTCTTACAATAGAGTATTTTATTTTTTCTGCTGAGTTATTTAAGAACCTCGCTAACCTGGGTCATATATATGGATATACATACCAAAATATTGATGGTGGTGTTGGTGTTAGAAAGTAAAGACTTTTGAGATCTATGTAGTTCTTGTGTATTTTTTTTCAAAAGCATTTCATTTTAATAATGTGCGCTACAGTATATATTTGTTTGCCCATGCACTGGACTTTTCAATGTGACTTAGGCTCCTAAATCACTTTGGTACTTTGGAAATACTTCTTGCATATCTTTTTTTCCCTGCTTTAATCTGTGTGGCTACATCTACATTGCCCCGTCTTGCTCAAGAACATATTCCACTTATTTTCCGGCAGACTGGCTCTTGCTCAAGACGGGGTTTTTGCGCAAGAAGGAGCAGTGTAGACTTGCGCAAAAAAAACCTCTTGCGCAAGACTGGGCAATACAGACAATATGGGCAATATGTTCTTGCACAAGACTGGGCAATGTAGACGTACCCTGTATGTTTGTCCTTGGATTATTTGTAGTTTAGAAGCCACAATGCTTTATAGCCAGGATGAAAACGGAAATGTCTCAGATTAAAAATAAAGAGAAAAAATAATTTCAAGTCTATGTGAAAATGTTTTCCAGTTTAGTGGCTTTTCACACAAAAACTTCGATTAGATCAATTTCTATACTCTAGTGGCAGTTCACATTTAAGTGTACTCATATGTAGTTTTCTTTGTCTGGGTTTAGTTTTCCAGGAGACTAACTATGCACTCTTGTAAGGTAATATGCCAGAAATTCATGTAAAGTTATGCCTAGCCCTAATGAATACTTGTCTTGTTAATTTGGGTTTATCCTGGCATCTTGCAATACCATCAGCAAACAAATATCCACTGAACTAATTTATCAAGTCTTCCAAATATTTTCCTTCTAAAAACAAACAAACCCCAAAACATATCCCAGCAGGCTATGTCTAATTTTTAAGATATTACAAAAATGATAAGATTGTGCAAATGTTTCATGTCTTGAAACTAAATTGACATATAATCATATATTCAAAAGGGCACTGTAGTACATATTTGGAATGGGAGAGCTCAAGACAGAGTTTGTGTGTTTCCTGGGGCAGTAATGGCTCATGTCCTGTTGCAATATAGTTCAGCAGTGATTTCCATCTTTGCTCTGCCAAAGGCTTGAGACAATTATTCTCCTCTCATCATTCCAAACCAGCACGTTGTTTTCTGCCTTCCATTTGCTCATATGTGCATGAGAAACAGAGACATGCTGAATCTTCTCACATTGGCTGGCGAAGTCGGAAGCCAAACCTCCACTCTGAAGTTTCTCTTTTCAGAATACCACGGTATCAATCCAACAAAGCATTTACACTCATCCTTAACTTGAAACACAAGAGTAGTCCCACTGAAGTCAGTGTGATGCTCACTATGGCAGTCACACAACCTGACCTTTCAGGTGACTATTTTTAATAAACAAGTCTCATTGACAAAATTCCTCTCATCCATTCTATAATCCTTTGGTATTTACAATTTGTTTATCTTACCTTGGATGCTAAAGTTGTTGGAATGTGGAAGAGGTTTTGACATACTGCATGGTATGTGTTTGATATATGAGTCACAGAACATACCGAGTACAGAGCAAGAGCTTGTCCAATACTGCTCCCTATGTGCAAGAGTGCTACTTTTGCTTCCCTTCACTATTTGGCTGTAACTGATCCTTGATTATTAGTTCACCTCATGTTACTGGACTGTAAAATAGTGTAATGTGATTTTCCTGTTATTATTGTTTAGTATTTCTAATGAAGTATCCACCTAGCAGCCCCACATCGCACCAGAGTCCCATTTACTAATAGCTGTGGAAACACATAGGAAGACACAGCCCCAAGGAGAATATGTTCTAAAAAGCAGTCTAATGAGGTTAATGAGCCAGTGTTTAAAAATCATTATTTATTAATAGGAATAAATGGGTGATCACTACTGAGACACTGGAGAGAGTGCTGGCAATCCAAAGCCACTCCTCTCTTTCCTATAAAATTTGACAGACTGTTGCAGGGGAGAAGGAAACAGTCATTTATTTTGCTTACCCTGTAGAAGGCTAATAAGTATCCAGTTCCGTGGTGAACCAGACTTGGAAATGGACTTAGGGGCAGGTGTCTCCTAAGGAACCTGGGGAACAGGTTTCAGGGTCCAAATATCTAGTACAGGAAGAAGATAATCCCTCAGCCCTCTTAGGATAAGGGGCTGCGTCTAGACTGGCAAGTTTTTCCGCAAAAGCAACTGCTTTTGCGCAAAAACTTGCCAGCTGTCTACACTGGCTGCTTGATTTTGCGCAAAAGCACTGACGTTCTACTGTCCGAAATCAGTGCTTCTTGCGCAAATGCTTTGACGTTCCCGTTTGGGCAAAAGCCCTTTTCCGGAAATGTTTTTGCGCAAGAGGGCCAGTGTAGACAGCTAAAAACTGTTTTGCGCAAAAAAGCCCCGATGGCGAAAATGGCGATTGGGTCTTTCTTGCGCAAAACCGCGTCTGGATTGGCACGG